AAGGTAATTTCACGCGCTATGATTGGTCAATTTGCGGTCCATAACTTACGGTACGGACCGAAAAATGAAATGGTTAACTGAGTGTACGTACTAAAAGTTTAAAACATTGAAATCTTCACTACAAAACATATTTCTGGATGAAAATCGTGGGGAAACCTTAATCAATTATTAAAGATAACTGAAAGTCACTGGCATTTAATGTAAACTTATAATACAAGCGACAACTCTTTCATACAAGCGACAACTTTTTCGATCAAACTTATCATACAAGCGACAACTCTTTCATACAAGCGACAACTCTTTCGATCAAACTTATCATACAAGCGACAACTCTTTCGTACAAGCGACAACTCTTTCGATCAAGGCTCTACAGACGCTCAGCAGCTGTGCATTTCTTTCTTCCGGCAACCTGCAGCTTTTGGAGTCAAAAAGTAAAATAATAATTCGAAACTTTAGCCTAGCTTGTGCTGTGGTTCTAAGAATTTGAAAATGGRTTGACCACTTAACATGAAAGACGATTCATCATTTTTTGAYGCGACAGCGCAGATCAGTATTTAGAAATAATCGGCCAGTTCAATTAGAATTTAAACGAAAATTCTAAAGTTCTTAAGATTGGTTTGCGGCTAAATAATATCCTCTGATTCACAAGGGAGGGCATGYTTCTTGCTTCTACACCCCTTAGATCTACAGGGCATTTGATCTAGAGGGTATTAGCATTGTAATAATCGTTATGATCGCATTTACAAGTGCATTTGATTTTAATCACTGGAAATCATTTTTTAAAGTGTCTTTGTKTTATTTGCTTATTCTTTCCCTTTTGCACTAAGAATTAATTAAAACATACAAACTCTTCAATTCACAAGAAAGAAATTGAACTTCAAATAAGGAAGGGAAATTTGAGTAGAACAAAAGTAAGGCACAATTTCAGTGCACATTCAAAAGATTGATATGCTGTGAATACTATATATTTTGGAGAGCAATATCTATAAATGCGAGAACTTGAGAGCGTTTTTTATGACATTCTATAATATCAGGTGGGGTAGTCTAAACAGAAAGAACCTAACTACAATCCTTTTAACTAGCCTTTAAACTCATCACAGTAGATGAGCTTGGCGTTGGTGCTTAGKTTGGAGGTGCCTAGTAGGCTCRGCGGTCAGCGACCACCCTAGCAACCCTGTCAAAACCACCTAGCACCGTCACATTGACAAGTCAATGGAATACTTACCACATTTAAAAACCTTACTCAAACAGCAGGGAATTAAAAACCCACACAGGAAGTTATAATAAAAAAACATGCGTAATGGGATAAGTTAAGAGTCAAAATACCATGATAAGCTAAGTAAATAATTGGTAATCACATCTTATGATGTCTGAGGGCTATTTTGGTGTGATTATAGCTGTCATCAGTAGAGAAAATTAATATGTCAATGGTAGCGTACAAACTAACCATTTTATTTGATTATAAAATATATTTATGACAACTAGTTTGCTCTTCTTGAGCAATGATGCTTGAAGTTATCGAAACGTATAGGACCAATCTAGTCGTC